AGCACAGTATTGTCCTGGGGGTGGGATCTGGTGGTAATAAGTCACCTCCAGAGATAGGTGATGGGACAAGACCCTCATCTTTCTCTGCAGCTTATCTGTGTTCAAGGATTCCAGGAGGCAGGGAGGATGTGGGTGGCTGCCTCAGTCTGAAGAGTCCGGATGAACAGTGAAAGGCTGCAGACACCGAGCTCATGTCAGGGACTGGGTCACGATGGCTGGTTTACAAATCCATTCAGGCTAGACCTGTGTAGCAAGACACATTGTGTAACTGTGTGCATGTACATGCATGTGTGTATTTTGTTCACTGAAGTACTCCATCCATATGGCATTCAAATGTGATTTGTACTATTTCCACATTGAAAAACAATCTCAGCTGATGTTTTGCTATGTCTTATTTGTATCAAAAAAATTCAAACATATAAAATAAATCACCCATATAGTCCCAATACTCTATCATTCAAGAGAATTTCATGTATCATTTGTCATTTGAAATCCAAGAAAACAAAGTTCACATCTGAATTACAAGGAGGGTCCTGAAGCACAGTGATGCCAACCAGGACTGTGGGCTTAGGATGAAGATGAGGGGTCTTGACTCCTAGTCCAGGGCTCTTTCCCTGACACCATGCTGCACCTCAGAGGAGACAGTTTTGTTAAATGACCTCCTAGGTCCCTTGTTTGTCTTCCATGGCTGAGGACAGCAGCATGTCATGCTGTCAGAGGCTCAGGATCCAGGTGGGCTCTTTATAGCTTCTCCAACCCTTGTTATTTCACTTTAGCTGCCTCCTATTGGGGTAACATTTAAGCCCTTGAAAATGAATGGGCTACATGCTCTGTTGTGGGGCGGTATAATAGAGGAGATCTAATAAGGGCTTTGTGCCACTTTCTGACCAGATTTTGGAGGACAGAATCTTGAGGGGTAGGGGCTGGAATAAGAAGAGAAAGGGGGGCAGTGAAACCTGGGGCTGTGGGAGAAAAGTTGATGCAGACTTCAGGCTGTGAGAAGGGTGTGGCTGCTGTCACAGTGGTATGTACTTGGGTTCCCTGTAATCAGAAAGGATGGCTTTCGTGTACTGAAGAAGACCTGTGTTTGAGGCTTGAAATGCTTCATTCATCTATTTCACGTTTATTGTTTAATCTTGAGGGGTAGGGGCTGGAATAAGAAGAGAAAGGGGGGCAGTGAAACCTGGGGCTGTGTGAGAAAAGTTGATGCAGACTTCAGGCTGTGAGAAGGGTGTGGCTGCTGTCACAGTGGTATGTCCTTGGGTTCCCTGTAATCAGAAAGGATGGCTTTGGTGTACTGAAGAAGACCTGTGTTTGAGGCTTGAAATGCTTCATTCATCTATTTCACGTTTATTGTTCTTGCCTGGTCACTAAAGGTATAAATATGAATATGAACAATGGACCCCATCCTAGAGGAGTTCGGAGTCCAGTGGGAGGAATAGGCATGTAAAGAAAGAAAGGTAACAGAGCGACAGATCCCACAGCAGGGACATGGAGGTGCCTGAGGGGCACAGAGCTGGAGCAGTTGGCTCTGCCACACGGGGATGTGGAAAGATAGCTTGGGAGGCCGCGGAGTGGTGCTGGCTGAGTGCAGGGAGGAAATGGCTCCTTCATTCCTAGTTACTGTGTCAACTTAGGAAGCTGAGTCCTTAGGGAAGCAGTGGGGATAATTACACTTATCTCAGGAGAAAGAGCCATGGAGAGAGTAGAAGATTTGTCAAGTATAACATATTGGGCCCCTGTTGGTCCCTCTGCCTTCTGCTGCTGGCCAGAGCTCCAGACCACCACCAGGCACACTCCAACCCCTCCTGGGATCAGCAGAGGGTCCACGTGCCTCTGAGTGCTGGTCCCACCAAAAGGAAAGGGTTGCAAAGTCCCAGTGTCCCTGACACCTCTTCCCAGCTGCCCCTGACCACAGCTAAAGGTGTCTCAGAGCAAGGGCAGGGCAGGTAAATCCCCAAGTTGAACACAGATCTGGGATGGGAGGGCAGGATGGAGCAAATGCAAGCACTGCTTTCTACACGTGTGCACACTTAACAGTGGTATCCAAAGCCCTCGTGTACATCCTGGGGGAGGCAGTCCACGGAGCACAACTGAGAAGTAGACCAATCCTGGTATGAGCCCCTACCCTTCTGCTGTCGGAGCTGCCTCCTGGCCATAGAGGGTGGTCAGTGCTGGGCCACCCTGGGGGGTCACAGTTCCTAAGACAGATGGCAGGAAGAAGGCAGTCTCTGCTTTTGTTATCCACAGCTTTGTCTGAGCTGCTGGCCCAGCCCTACTCCCAAATAAGAGGAGCTGCACAGTAATGCTTTAATAAGTGTCCTGATCAATTCAGTCTGAACTGAATTAAATTCATTTTCACAAACCTATAGTGAATGATTACTCTGTACAGGACAGAGATAAACAAGATACTATAGTTAGTGCCAGTTAGTGCCAAGAAATTCAGGCTGGAAGTGTTAGTAATTCATTCTTCCTTTTGTTCTCTGCCCTGCTGTGTTTCTGGCTGCTGCTCTTAGCCAGTCGGATCAGCTTCACAATACGTTGTCAAAACGGTTTGCAGGCATTGGAAGCAGCGGCGCCCTCTGGTGGTAAGCGTTGGTATTGACAGGCTGCCTGCCTGGCCAAGGTAGTCCTAGGCTTTGAAATATAGTCTATATTGTGGGTATTCACATAGTCCAAGATCCACATCAGGACTTTTTAGGGCCAAGTTCAATCCTGTCATTTTACAGATGGGGAAATGGTTGCTATGGAGATGAGGTAACTTTCCCAGTGTCTCAGAGGGACAGAACAAGAACCTGAATCCAGTCC